GGGGCTGTCTGTCTGTCCCGGGGCTGTCTGTCTGTCCCGGGGCTGTCTGTCTCTCCTGGGGCTGTCTCTCCTGGGGCTGTCTGTCCTGGGGCTGTCTGTCTCTCCTGGGGCTGTCTCTCCTGGGGCTGTCTGTCCTGGGGCTGTCTGTCTCTCCTGTGGCTGTCTGTCCCGGGATGGTCTGTCCTGGGATGGTCTGTCCTGGGGCTGTCTGTCTGTCCTGGGGCTGTCTGTCCTGGGGCTGGCTCTCCGTCCTGGAGCTGTCTGTCCGTCCTGGGGCTTTCTGTCTGTCCAGGGACTGTCTGTCCTGGGGCTGTCTGTCTGTCTTGGGGCTGTCTGTCCCGGGTCTGTCTGTCTGTCTGTCTGTCTGTCTGTCCAGGGACTGTCTGTCCCGGGGCTGTCTGTCTGTCCCAGGTCTGTCTGTCCGTCCCGGGGCTGTCCCCTCCCAGGGACTTGTCCACCCTCCTGAGCACCCCCGTCCCTGCTGCCTCCCCTCTGCTGCAGCTGCTGGGCTGGGCTCATGCTGGGGGCTGCATCCAGACCTGGGTTTGAGCAACACCCCTGGATTTGATCTGGGCTCTTGGCACGAGGATTAGCAGCACTAAACACGTCCTGGTGGCTCAGCTCAGCTTTAGCTTAGCCAGTCCCGTGTGCACATGGGATCCAGCTGCCACTGTGTCCAGGCAGAATGGAACAGCAGGAGCTGCCCCAAAAGCAGCAGGGATTCCTCCCCCTGCCCTCCTGGGCTACCCCACTGCTGGGTGAGGAACAGATGCTTGTGTTTTGCTGATAATAAATAACAGCAGCAGAGAAATAAAGTGCTTTTTCTGTCCCCTCTGTGCTTGTGAGCTCGCAATGGGGCAGCACTGACTGAGGGGATGCTGAAAGGTTTGGGATGGGGCCGTGCCCCCGTGCCCTGGCACAGGCAGGACAGTGCCAGCAGCAGCAGAAGGTGCATGGAACCAGGCTGGCACCTCCTGAGTGCAACAGGGCCCTTTCACAGGGGGCTGCTGAGGCACCAGAGCCCCAGCAGGCAGCAGAGGGTACAAGGAGGGATGTGGAGGCAGGTGGGAGAGAAGCAGCTCAAGGGTTAAACTCGCCAGGGCTGGAAGGGTTGAATTCAGTCCAGATGGCCGGGGGATTATGCCAGCCCTAGATTTGCCATAAGCAAATGTTAATGTTCAAGCTCAGGGGTGGTTTATTTTTTTTCTGTTAGGGGTTTCTAAGGTCACTTTGGGGCCTGGGCTGACCCAGAGGTAGGATTTGTCCGTCCGTCCATCCATTCATCCATCCATCCATTCATCCATCCATCCATCCATCCATCCATCCATCCATCCATCCATCCATCCATCCATCCATCCATCCATCACCTCCAGCCCTGCACGAGCCCTGCTGGGACCATGCTCTGCAAACCCCCCTCGGCCCAGAAAAGCCCAAACTCATTTTAAAGTCTTCTGTTGCATTTTTTGGTGTGACCCCCTTGTACTCCCAGAAGCTCCAGTGCCAGGACCAGTAACAGATGGCACAGGGACTCCAGTTCCCTTCCTCTGGCACTGTCACCACTCAGATTTAATTCCTGTTTGGACAGTCAGAGCTGTCCTGGGCATCCTTCACATGGGGGATGAGCAGTGCTCCCTTGCAGCTGTCAGAGATTTGGAGCAGTGCCCCAAATCCTGGTGGCTTTTGGCATCTCCTTGCCCAGCCTGGAGCTCCTCACCGTGCTCTGTCCCTCAGCTCTCTGCCCTCCAGCCTGGAGCTGCTGGAGTGAGTGGCTCTGGGGGTGACAGGTGCCTGCTTGGGGGTCACCCCAAGCTGCTGTTGGCACCCTCACAGCCCCCCTCCTCAATTCATGCGACTTGGGGGTGAAGCCCCCCGTGCTGCCCTGCTGGTGGGTGATGGGGGACATTGTCCCTCAGCCATGGGGTGTCAAGCATCCTTTGGGTGATGCCACCCCACCCTGGCTGCCCTGCCCTGTCCGGCCACGACTTCCTCCTCAAACCATGCCCTTGATGGGAAACCTCTCTGCTCCTTTCTCTCCCCAGATGGATCTGTCCCACCGCTTCTCCAAGGAGGAGGTACGAGTGTGGCCCCACCGTGGTGGCCCTTGGTGGCCCTGGAGGGGGTGGCAGGGCCTGGCATGGAGCTTGGGGAGGAAATCCTGCTGCTCCTGGGAATGCATGGAATCCTGCTGCTTCTGGGAATGCATGGAAATCCTGCTGCTTCTGGGTTTGCATGGAAATCCTGCTGCTCCTGGGGTTTGCATGGAAATCCTGCTGCTCCTGGAGATGCATGGAAATCCTGCTGCTCCTGGGGTTTGCATGGAAATCCTGCTGCTCCTGGGGTTTGCATGGAAATCCTGCTGCTCCTGAGTTTGCATGGAAATCCTGCTGCTTCTTGGGAATGCATGGAAATCCTGCTGCTCCTGGGAATGCATGGAAATCCTGCTGCTCCTGGGAAAGTATGGAAATCCTGCTGCTCCTGGGAATGCATGGAAATCCTGCTGCTTCTGGGTTTGCATGGAATCCTGCTGCTCCTGGGGTTTTTATGGAAATGCTGCTGCTCCTGGGGCGTCCCTGCTGGCTGTCCCCACGGGAGGTGTCCCACTGTCCCCACAGCTGGCCCTGCTCTACGAGGAGGTTCTCTACACCATCCGGCACCGCCTGGGCAAGCCCGAGCAGCAGCACGTCGGGGACTCCCAGGAGCTCTACTCCTACGTGCAGAAGGTGCAGCCCCTTCCTGACAGGCTCCCCAAAACCTGTCCCCTGCCATGTCCACCCTCCCAGCTGCAGGGGTGGTAGGGGTCTGTTATGCCCCAAGCTCCCTCAGTGAGTGTTTAAAGGGATTTGATTTACGCTGGAGATCACAACGTTCTCAGGAGGCTGAATAACAAACTTCTGCTTGCAAACTTGAGAATGTTAATGTACAACCCTCAACATAACAATATATACAACCCTCAAACTTCACAATATTAACGTACAACCCTCCCTTTTCATTTCTAATTCTTACAGAATTTAAGACTTTTCCTTCCCCATTGTTTCTTTCATCTCTCAATGTCTAATTTCGTTTATCAACAAACCTGAAGTTTATTTGTAAAAGCAAATATCTTTTTCCACTCATCGATCAGTGGAATCCTTCCCACTGTTTCTTTTCTCTCCCAGTGCTGGTTTTATCCACCAGCAGACCCAGGTTGGGCTTTGAGTTAGGTTGGGCTTTCCATGTGCCAGGATGTGGAAGTGCCCCATCCCACCTTGCAGAACTTGCCCTGACCCCCACCAGACACAATTTCTCTCTGGTTGTTTGGAGCCAATAATCATGAGGGTCACTCAGAGGGAGCTTTTAGCAAGCACCATGAGAGATGTAGCAGCAGCATGCAGCTGGAGGGCTGGGAGCATCCTGTGGCTGGGAAATATTCGCCCTGGGGAGAAGTGTTTATCTTAGGCTGGGGATGGTGGGAAGAAGGCTCTCCCTTAAGAGCTTTCAGCTGGCCCCCAGCCTTCCTGCTGGACTCAGCCACTCTCCTCTCCCCTTGGGCTGCTGCTGGCTCCCAGGGAGCAGAGGGAAGCCCCTGGCTGCTGTCCAGCCCCTGTTAACAGGGCAGCATCCATCACCAGCCCCAATATCCACACAGGCTTTTGGCATGGACGCAGAGGAGCACGCAGTCATCATGCAGCAGGTCATGGAGCTGGAGGTACAGTGTCCCCAGGGTGCAGCTGGGGGGCTGCAGTGCCCCTGAGCCCCTGGGGTGGGGATTTGGGGTGCCCTGGGGTTGTCACTGCTTGGGTGGGAGCTGATGGCAGGGTCCTGCTCCAGCCCCATCCTTCCATGCAGGGTTGATCCTTCCTCTCTGGGTTGGTGACCCCTGTCACAGGGCTTGCAAGGGTTGCAGGATGAAGAGAGAGGCAAGAATATTGACCTCATGTTCAGAAGGCTTGATTTATTACTTTATGATATATATATTACATTATAACTATACTAAAAAGAATAGAGAGAAAGTTCTCAGAAGCCAGCTAAGCTAAGAATAGAAAAGGAATCAATAACAAAGGTCTGTGTCCCGGCAGAAAGCGAGAGCCAGCTCTGCTGTGAGTGGTCAGTAAATCCAAACAGCCACATGAGACCAATCCCAGATGCACCCGTTGCATTCCACAGCAGCAGATACCCATTGTTTACATTTTTTTCCTGAAGCTTCTCAGCTTCAGCAGGAAAAATCCTAACGAAAGGATTTTAATGAAAAGATGTCTCCTGTCTCATGTCTGCCTGTAATGACAGCCCCCTCACATTAATGTCTGTTTATTCATTTTTCCAGAGTCCCATTTACTGCCTGAAAGCCACTGTGAAGGAAGCCAAGGGAATTTTGGGTAAAGATGTCAGTGGTAAGTGGAGGGGGGGTGTCCCATGGGAAGAGGGGCAGCTGCTGCTGCCGAGGGAACGCCCAGAGCTCTGTCCCTGCAGGGCTCAGTGACCCATACTGCCTGCTGGGCATCGACACCAGGAGCCAGGAGCCAGCCCACCCCGACCACAAGAAGAGAATGAAGGCTGTGGTCAAAGACCTCATCCCTGAGGACCAAATCCATCGCACCCAAGTCATAAACCAGACCCTCAGCCCAGTGTGGAACGAGACCTTCATCCTGTAATCCACCCCCACCCCTTGGCTCTGCTCTCTGGGGGATGCAGGGCATGGCCAGGGCTCTTGGCTGGGGATGGGGGCTCACCATTCCCGTGTTACTGGAATAACAGCATCCCCTGGTGCCTTGCAGGGAGTTTAAAGATGTGGAGACAGCCAGCTTCCACCTGGACATGTGGTGAGTGACAGCATCCCCGTGAGCCCAGGACCTGCCCGAGGGGTGCTGCCTCCTGGCTTTCAATCTAGAGCTTTTTTAAAGGCTCCAAAGCCAGCTGAGCACCCCTTTCCCATCACTCTCCGAGGAGCAATGCTCAGTGCAGGATGTGACCTGTGCCAGCAGGGAAAGCCAGGCTGGCTGTGCCCAGGCAGGGCTGCTCCTAAACCCTGCTTTAATTTATGGAGACCCACGTGCTTGCCGATTTGGGCTGGGTTTGGGGGTGGCCTCAACGCTGACACGTCCCTGCTCCTGTGCTTTCCCTCTCCACCGTCACTGCAATTCCCTGCTCTGTTTTTCCATCCTCGCAGGGACTCGGACGTGGTGGAGTCGATGCGGCACAAACTGGGGGAGCTCACGGACCTGCACGGCCTCAAGAGGTTGGTGCTGGTGTGGCCCCAGGGCTGCTGAGGAAAGAGGGGTGGAAAATGCTTCTTTGCCTGCTGGGTTTTATAAATCACCCTTGGAAGGAGGGAGAGGGGCAGCAGGTCTGTTTCACACGGCCGGGGCACGGCTGCAGGCACCTTCCCACCCCCTCGGCTCTTTGTGCCTTCCAGGATCTTTAAAGATGCTCGCAAAGACAAAGGGCAGGACGATTTCCTGGGGAACGTGGTGGTTCGCCTGAAGGTGAGCCCTCCCTGCCTCCCCTCCCCCGAGGGACTGCCCAGGACTTTCCCCGGGGAAACCTCCCGGGGTCCGGGCAGGATCCACACGGGATCCACGCAGGATCCGGGCAGGATCCACACAGGATCCACACAGGACGCAGGCAGGATCCACACAGGATCCGGGCAGGATCCACACAAGATCCACACAGGATCCACACAGGACCCAGGCAGTATCCACACAGGATCCCAGCAGGATCCCAGCCCTGTGGCAGCGCCCTGTGGCACGTCCAGGATCCCGTCTCAGAGCCACAGGCTCTCCCTGGGCCGCAGTCATTCCAACACCCTCAGTCACTGAACATCCTGTGTTTTAAATCCAATGCTGAATCTTCCTGCCCCATGAACGCAGTGGGATGAAGATCTCCTGGTCTCTGAACGAGATCCTTCTCCTGAGAAGGCTGCCCAGGGCTTCCCCCTTGTCCCTCTGTGCCTGCAGGACCTGCACTGCTGGGATGACCAGTGGTACCAGCTGGAGCCACGGACAGAGACCTATCCCGAGCGGGGACACTGTCACCTGCAGTTCCTGCTGACACACAAGAAGGTGGGATGGGATGTGGAAAGGTCCTTCCCACTGCCTTGGCAGGATGGGACAGCTGCCTGTCCCCTGGGCTTGTCTGGGGGCCACAGGTGCCAGCACAGGGTGTGCAGGTGCTGGGCCCTGCCCTGAGCTCAGTGCCAGCACCAGGACCCTGCTCCTGGTGCACCCGCAGCCCTTGGCTCTCCAGCCCTGCCTTTTGGGCTCTGTGTCCCCACTGTGGCAGTGTCCCTGCGTGTCCAGGCAGGTGATGGTTCTCTCTGCCTTGTGTCATTGCAGAGGGCCACCACGAGCAGCCGGACACAGCCGAGCTACACCGTGCACCGCCACCTCCTGCAGCAGCTGGTGTCCCACGAGATCCTGCAGCACCAGGTACCACCAGGGCTGCCACCAGCAGCAAAAGCAGCTGGGCTGGGGAGGCCTTCCTTTGCAGCCCACACCCCAACTCACTGTGTGGTGGGAATGAGGGTCAGGAGGATGCCTGGCACATTGCTGGGGCTACCAGTCCTGCAAATGATGGTGTTCACAGGGGTCCGAGGAAGAGGGAACAGACAAGGATCCTACTCCATGTTTCAGAAGGCTTGATTTATTATTTTATGATATGTATTACATTAAAACTATGCTAAAAGAATAGAAGAAAAGGTTTCATCAGAAGGCTGGCTAAGCTAAGAATGGAAAGGAATGATCACAAAGGTTTGTGGCTCGGACAGAGAGCCCAAGTCAGCTGGGCTGTGATTGGCCATGAATTACAAACAACCACATGAGACCAATCACAGATGCACCTGTTCCATTCCACAGCAGCAGATAACCATTGTTTACATTTTGTTCCTGAGGCCTCTCATCTTCTCAGGAGAAAAAATCCTAAGGAAAGGATTTTTCATAAAATATGTCTGTGACACCCCCCATGGTGCCCGTCCTGCTCATCCTGTTTTGCTGCAGGACACATTCCTCCCCCTTTCCCTCCCGCAGGCTGGCAGCACCTCCTGGGACGGGGAGCTGAGCAGCCACGCCAGCACCGTGCTGTACCTGCACGCCACACAGAAGGACCTCTCTGACTTCCACCAGGACATGGCGTGAGTACCCCACACCCAGGGCACCCCAGGGCAGCACCTGGGGCCTTGCTGGGACCCTCTCCCCACAGCTGCTCTGTCCCCTGAGCTCAGGTGTTGCTCCCTGGGTGCCCCCTGTGCCCCCAGCTGTGACTGTGGCTGGCTCCTGGGTGTCCCCCAGCCCTGGGAGCTCAGCCCAGCCCTCCCTCCTCCCCAGGCAGTGGCTGGCCTACAGCAAACTCTACCAGAGCCTGGAGTTCAACAGCAGCTGCCTGCTCCACCAGATCACCAGCATCGAGTACCGCTGGGTGCAGGAGCGCCTGAGGCCAGAGCAGGTGAGGGCAGGGATCAGAGAGATGAGGCACC